ACTTATCTTGGACAGGCTGCTATGTAAACGGGCCTTTAGTCCTTCGTTTAGCTATGCTGCGGTTGTTTACACTACCCCTTTTCCACCTAAAATAGCGTCTTAGCAACAAATGTCACTTGACTGGCGGAGACCGACTGGGTAAGCAAATCGAGCTTACGTTATACTTATTGCGTGGCCACGAAATACTGCTTTGTGCGTACGAAATACTACTTCGTGGCCACAATAAAAAATTTTTTTTGACCATGTCATCAGAGGGGCTCCGTATCAATCAGCTACCCTCACTCTAAGTGACGGCAGAACAGATTACGGGGTAACTGTTTTTATAAGAGGCCCCCTGCAGCTGAATGACAAAAACATGATCCACCATTGTAAGATAAGCCTCAAAGTGCTAAGTTCTTGCTAATCAAATCTCAAATATTAACAATACCATATAGAGATTACAAAAATAACATATTAAATACAAAAGGGAATACTGTTCTTGCTAAAAAATAAGGAGATTCAATGTGGCGAAGACCAGTCAATGCTTGAATGGGATTGGAAAGAGATTTAAAGTTTCCTCCACTGTTAACGTTTGGTGGAGGTTGGTTGAGGACCCAATTGCAGAGAATGGTTCTTGCAGATTTAATTTAAATTCTGATGGCAACAAGCACAAATCCAGGAACAAAATAAAGAAACCAAAAACCAGGAGACAACAGAGAGAAACACAAACACAGGGAGCAAACCAAAGAAGAGAAACCAGCACTGATGAACTGCAGCGGAGCATAATATATGGCAGACACAACCAAGAGAGGACTAATCGGTTAATTGGGAGCAGGTGAGACAGAAGCAGCTAGAAAGGAGCCAAAGGCAAAGGAAACTGGCACAAAGGGGCAACAGAGAGTAACACAGAAACACAACAGTGCCAGAAAACAACTACAAAGGCACAGAAACCTAAACAAGGGAAGAACCTTGACATCCACAAGAAAATCTTTATTTAACATAAAAATCATGTATGTGGCTGTGGGTGTGTGAAGTGTATGTCTAGGTGTAACCCATTAGGTGCAAAAATGATGTAGCGCTAAATCAAGATAAAATATAAAAGTACAGTTTAATGAGGTCCAATTATTAGCTATTATGTTTAAACTGTACCTACTAAACTATGCAGCATGGTTTAGCCTTGTTCAACAAATATAATGAATATGTGCAAAGTGGACCCTTAGTTGATGACTCGTCAAAAAGAGCAGTCATAGAGCTGAAATTGATACTTTTTCCATCCCTCCCTGTAAAATAGCAGGACATAGTGTATTTGCAAGGAAAAATGCTTAATCAATAAGGATAAGAAGAAACTATAAAGCATTAAGTGAAGGAGCAGTGAATATGATGCCATCTATGCTTCCAACTTTGCGTGGAAAACTGAAAATATATGAACAGATAATGCTGGAGAACTCAAAATGTGGTAACGACGAAATGATTGCCTTCCCAGATACCAGCAGTTCTGTGGATCCTTTTGTTTATCTTGTGGACTTGTAATTAGGAAACACCAATTACAAATCCAGAGCTGGAAACGAGAGTCATTTTTTGACTCTGTGATGCTGAATTCCGATAATGAATTTTTGGATCCTTCCTGTCTGCAACGTGTGGTTATAGCTCAACACAGATCTACGCATGAGCAGAAAAAGGTAGCTAATGGGGTGAGCACGACCTTCATGTAAACATATCATCAGAATGATTGACAATTAGGAGGACCAATTATTTAGATGATCCACCCAGAAATAAAAGATCGCCCTCTATACCTTTAAGTTCAGGAAGTAGCGCAGTTGTGCATAGAGTTCATTTTTCGCAAGTAGTTCATTATGGTTGCATTTAAAGATCATCCTATGAAATCATGCCGTGTGGAATGATTTTTTTTCTTTTTGTAAATTTCCATGTATTACACTTTATTTTGTTAGTAAGCAAAGTAGGGCAGCAACTAACAATTATTTTGGTTATTGATTAACGTCTTGATTATATTTTTGAGTAATCTATTAATGATCAAATAGCAAAAGGTTCTTTAACGAAGAGTTTTTGCAGAATTTAAACCAGTTTAAATTAAATTGACTAATTCCACTTGAGTTCTGGATAGAGCAGATTGAAATCAAAAAGCGTTTTTTTAAAACTTAGAATGCAAAATATATTTATTGTTTTACAATTTTGTTTAAATGACTACTCCAGGTGGGTTCCTCTTTCAGCCAAATACATTTTTTAGTCTCTATACTAATTGATTACTAAATTAGTTTGCAATTATTTCAATAATCGATAACCCTAAAGCACAGCATTTTGTTTATATTTACCATAACCAGACTAAGTAACCTGTGGTGCTCTTTACTTGTCAGAAAATACTTTCTTTGACACAGCAACACACTGGGAAAAAGCAATGAAAGGTAGTTCATGTTAAATGCACGAAAAACACATTCGGTGTTAACTGTTCATGTCGAATCACAGCACTGTGACATGTTTGAAAAAAGACAGAATAGAGTGAGATCACTGTATGTGACGCCTGCAGTTGTACAAGGCAGACCCTGTTCGGTCTGAATGCAGTAGCTTTGCAGATTAACCACTAAGCTCGTTAATTGTTTTTGTAAATCTTATGGCAGGTAGTGTAACAGTAGTAGTACTATTTTGACAAACAGATTGTCTTGCAAGATTGAAATATATACAGTACAAATGCTGTAAATGTTAGTTGAACTCTAACAGATTATTACAGATCTTTTAACCTTACTGCGAAACACCAAGGAAACAGAAATATAGCTTGGACTGTCTCATTAGTTTTGTTAATAAAAAAACAACATATTTTTTTATTTATTAACTATCGTGTTATATTAAATTAATTCCAAGATAGAAAATATGTATATGTGTAAATGAGGGAGGTCAAAAAGTTATTAAGATTGAACTTTTTTGCTGATCTATAGAAATCCCATCAAAATACAATGCACTGAACTAAAAAGGAAGTAAGTGTTGTGTTGTAACAAAAGACAGGGTAAAAAAACTCTATAAGGGCAAAAGATAAAGATTAACAGAGGTAATAGATAGAAAAATGTGAAAAGATCATTCTTACCTAACACAATGACCACCGTTTTTAGCAGAGACATCATTGTATCTCGGTTGCGCCGTGGTCCTGAGCTGTGCCGCGACATCCTCATGGTCCTCTGCCTCACATAGACAAAAATGTGGGCGTAAAGTGTTACCATCACAACAAATGTCAAAAGGTTAAACACTGCCCAAAAGACTAAGTAGGAGTTGCTATAAAGGGGCGCCATGTTGGAGCAACTATTAAGACTGCAGATACAGTTCCAGCCAACACTGGGGATTGCTCCCATCACTATGGACATAGTCCAGATTATGAGGATCACCACCACCACACGTCGGTTGCTCATTCGCGTATGTAGCTGCATGCGGAAGACAGTGATGTGACGTTCTATAGCGATGGCCAGCAGGTTCGCCACTGATGCTGTCAGACTGGTATCAATCAAGCCTTGACGCAACAACCATGTTGAAACAGTAAGATGTCTAGTATTTGGTCCTGTGTTGAACATTAGGTAGAAGTAGGCCAGTCCAGCAAAGAAGTCAGCAGCTGCTAGGTTTGCCATCAGGTAATAGATTGGAAAGTGGAATCTCCTGTTGACGTAGATGGCGATCATCACTAGAAGGTTGGCGAGCATGATAAAGATGCAGACGGTGATGCCCAGGCCCATCACAAGCCTGCTAACGGTGTTCCAGTCTTCAGCAAGGGGCTTACGACTGTGGTTATAGAAGAAGGAGATAGTCTCATTATAGTAGCACTGGTCTTCATCCATGGTGGCAGTGATGGTAACTGGAATGAGTAAAAAAAAAAAAAACAGCTTAGTGGCATTCAGTAAAGACAGGTTATTATTTAACTCTTTACTAAATCTTCAAATATTTAATCTAAATACTCAGATTGAAAAAGAACATCATACAGCAATGTATATAGCATTATCTCATTACTGTGTTTCATGTTGCAAGCAAACCTTGTGTTAGCTAGTGTTACTGTCAAGATATTTATGTTTATTTTGGATACAGGAAATACAATATTTGCTGATATTATCTACTTATAATCCGACTACAAAAATAAAAAAAATCTAAATAAATTTAAAACAAAACAAACACCTCAACGGTTTACAGGTAATATTTAAGTTTTAAACCTTTGTTTCTCCATTTACATAGCAACATATTTTTTAGTTTAAGGATAGGGTTAAGATTTAGAATAGTGTTATTTTATCCCCTTATAATATGGAAATAATATTTTATAGATATTTGGAATACTTGAACAATGTCTTCGTTTGGTATGAATCCAGATCAGCAGGTTTTAGAGGCTGATGCTAATGATTCATCTGACAGGAGCCATGTCCCCAATATTAGAAACTAATATTTAATTAGACACTTATAGTAATTAAGGGACTCCATTTCTAAGTTGATATCGTAACTAGTAATATATACAGTAGTTAAAAACTATGTTTAGACAGAACATTCCATATTAGTTAATAGCTATCATGATTTTATTTTTTTTCTATGTGTAAACTTCTTTCCTTTAGCCAACTATCTTTCCTTTACCTGAAATTATATCCTTTAATACAAAAGGACTGTTTTCTTTTTAGGGGAAAAAAAAATCCTCCTTCATAAAATGCAGCTTTAAAAGAATGTCCTTGTAAGTCAGACCCAAAATATGGAAAGCAAATCCGTCTGGTTTAAAGCTCAGCCTTTTTGCTTGCTGTTTATGTGAGAGAGTATGTGTGTGTCGTACCATGAGGGCTTCACATATGGAAAACAGCCATCATTAAGCTGAAGTAGCTTTATAAGGAAAGGGTGTCTGAAATGATCGTTAAGACCAAATGTCTGCTGTCTGCAAGTTAAAATTTAACAGCAACACTATGCAAGAATGTTGTGTTCTTGTGTGTGACTGCCTCCCTGCTAAGTGTGGAAAGCCATAATCCTGTAGTTATAGGTATGTGTGTCTGTGTTTATTCATTTGGGCTCCGTCAGTGAACTTTGGCGTAAATTTAAGATAAAACTGTGTTTCATGAAGTCAAGCACAGTGAGGTATCTATTTTGTAAGCAGATTTAGGAGCATACTGCTTAGTTTTAGCTCACACACGCAAACAAACACTGCCCACAGAAACATGTGTGCATATGTAATAAGCTCCAGTCCTACACAGATGAAGGCTGGTCTCTCTCATAGACTCCAGACCGGAAACAGGACCTCAGGGCTGTAAGAGGTTCTGTTTATGTGTGTTTGTTTGTGTGTAAATTAGACACAGACAAAGAGCACACAGAGAGGAAGGAAATACGGAAAAATTGAGGGAAATAATAGAAGAATTAAATGTATCTGGTCAAAAGCCAGTGGTTTTGTGGGAACATTTTCTTTTTATTAATATCAAAATTTATGAAGGCAGATTTTTTTTCTGTGGTTATACAATCGAAATACACACAGATGAACTGATTTATAAACCTATTTAACAAAACATAGCACAAGCAGGTGTGTTAAAGTTATTTTCAATGCTTTGGTGTAAACATACTTTGTAGGAGATGCTTTGAAAGCAAACTGTCACATAGTGAAAAAAGAAAAAAATGTTTTCATCCCACAATACAGGTCACAGTCCACTTTGTCCCTCAGATCTAGGTGTTCCATAAGCAACATCCATAACAGTTTGAATTTTCTCAGTTATGATCAGTGCTGTATGAGTTACAGACTTCCTCAGCATCTTGAAACTGTATGGAAATACACTGCTGATAGGCATCAAACTGCACCAGGTACAAAGGCAAGTCTTACTGAGTGAAATTTTCAGATAAAAATGTGTAGATGGATATGAATGAAATGATGTTTCATGATGTAAATCCAGTGAGATGCCGTATAAGAATTCTATCCATTCATCCATTGCCTTTACCTGCATGTCTGGATCACAGAGGCGAGCCCTCATAGAGCATTAGAGTTGCTTTTATTCATTATTGATTGATAGATTGATTAACTTTATTTATCTCACTGTGGAGAAATGTACTCGTTACATCAGGTCAAAGAGTCAAAAAGAAGAAGTTGCTAAAGGAAGAAAAGGTGCATGGGGTATATACAACATATACATTTCGTCCAATATATATATATATATATATATATATATATATATATATA